AATGTGCCTTCTGCTCATCCGAGTTCACCCATGCCCCACTCTCTTAGGACGAGCGACACCAAGTTAGCTGAAGTCTTTCAGCCAGTCCCCATGCGGGGACAGGGGAGAGTGCTTCTCAGGCTCTGCCTGAGCTAACTTGTACCACTGCTTAAAATGAAAGCCAATGCGCAACTGTAAGTGATTACTCCTATGGACTAATGTTGAAAGCTTGAGGCCTCGTTTGATTAATGAATAATAGAAGATAGAAAAAGCCTGGAAGTGAAGCCGGGCCGAAGCTCTCCTGGAACTCTCTTTCCCTGAATAACTCTTCCAGGCTGTTAGATGCCGTCCCAGAATTCCGTTTAAGGGTGGTATTTCAAGAAACTGGTAGCTGAAGTTCCTAATAAAACAGGTATCTGTGCAAAGCCCACAGAATGGTGTGATAAGTGATGGAGAATTTTCATCTTTATTTCTTACATGCCTCCCCCTTCAGTGTGTGTTTGGGGGGGGGGGGCTATGAGGAAAGCGATCCTCTTTAAGTAAACAACCAAGAGAGAACATTTCTCTCAGAAATATTATTGGTCCTTACTCTCTGAAGCTCTTTGCCCTTCCACGGTTCTGGGACTTGAGGCCAGGAGAAAGTTTACAGAGCAGCTCTCATGCCCGTATCGTGATGTGTGGGTGTGCTCGACTCGCCCTCTTGACAGTGTGTTTGGTTCACCATTATCGTGCGTCCGTCCGCTTTACCTGAGTCTTCAGGAATCTGCCTCGGCATCTCTCCCCCTTGTTCATTTTTAGGGAAGATGAAAAAGACGATGGCAGGAGGGCTGAACAAAAAGAAACCGTCTTGATGCGTTTGCACTTTATAGGAGTGTGTGGATTTAAAAAAAAAAAAAAAGGTAGACATGTTCTCAAACGTTTCTTTTCCTAACAACCCCAGCCGTGTGGTCTGCATGCACACATAGCAGAGATTTTATTTCAGCACTTGATATTATTATTTTTATAGTAATGCCCGCCAGTTGCGATGGAGTATGAAATCCTGTGTAATCATGTCCCTGTGAGTATATCTAACATGCCCATAAGTTATATTCCCCTGCCTCTGCTCCCCTCAAGCCATTCTGTGCTGCTTTCTTGTAGGCTTGTGCTAGTTTCTGATGATGCAGTTTTTTCTTTTTGTGGGGAGTCTGGCAGGAGAGAGCATCTCCCTCAATTTATTTTGTTTATTGAATGCGGAGATGAATAATGCAGAATTTGTTTTCATGAGTGTCCTTGTGTAGCAGTAAACATTTGACTATTAGCAATCATTACTTAAAAGTTGCAATTTGCACCTTAATAGCATAGGTTATTTACATGGGAAACACATTCAGCAGGGCCAGTTCTGAACACACTGTGCGTCGATGGAGTAGGAATGGCCCGAGAGTTCTCTTTTTCTTCTTCGGGACAGTGTTGTTTCTGAGTCGATGGGTGAAGTCCCAGAAATTTCAACTACCACATAGGGGCAGGAGCCAGTGGCTGTAAGTGAAGTTTGCCTTTAATTTACTGTCAAGTAGGGTGAGACAGGAAAGAACAAGAACCCGGAATGTTTCTGGACCCTGATTTTCTTTGCTTAAACATCCTTCAGAAAAGCAAACTTCATTTTAAAAACTGAAGTGTCTCATGTTGTAGATCTCTTTGCTTCCCATAACCATATGGTTTTAAGACAAGGACACACACACACTCACAGACACACTCATGCCAGCCCACAGGCCTTCATCAACAAGAACTCTTAGCTATCTTGTTACTTCAGCGGCCAGGTGCCTAGGAATGACTTTGCCCTCACAGTGTTTTGGGGTTGGAAAGATTCTTTATGTGGTCCTTTCTCCAGTCCTCTCCTGCTCTCCTCCCCCCTCTTGGCTCACCTTTAAAGGTCCAAATTGAATAGGACATTTCAAAAGCGCATTTGTTTTAGGTATTTATTGATTTCATTTTTAATCTGCCATCTCAGGACATAATATATTAACCCTAATCCGAAGATTGCAAGTGGCAGTACTCGGAGCAGAAAAGGGAGGAGAGGGCACTGGGGAACTTGGGGCAGTGAAATCACTGAGGCTTTTGTGAGTGTGTGTGGGGAGGTTGGAGGGGTTAGATGCTTGAGTGTAAACGCGCTTCTCAAAAATACTCTACTGTTCTTCCTCCACTTGTGTTTCTCACTGCTCCCAACCAACTCAGTTTCTTGCTGCATTTGGGGAAACTTCACACTCCATAGACTCCTCCTGTGCATCTTTAGACTTGGTCTGCAAGTATCTTGGCTATTGTGACTTTCTCCAGCAATGGAACAATCCTTACCCCACCTCTGCTGACTTCCCATCAGGGGTGTTTTTTTTGGGGGGGTGGGGGGAGTCTTTCCAACTGGATAATGCCTAAGTTAGTCTGGGTTGGTCTACTTCTCTTCCCAAGGCTTGAAAATGGGGGGAGACTTGAGATGGCATTATTTAAAGCCTGATGATGAAGAGACTCTGCCCACCCCTGCAGCAGAGTCTAG